ATTGGAGTGTAAGAGATAGGGTTTGCTTAGGCTTCGTTTGGAAAGTTGGATTGACTTTTTGACTACTTTATTCCAAACTAAAAAGTTCGTCTGGGTTAGTTTGTTAGTTTTATTTTTTATTTTTGTGAAACAAAAAATAAAATAATTATTATTTAAATGTGACATTTGTCTTATTAAGATTTGAACATATTTTGTCTTTTTCTAACTAATTTAGCCACAACATCGAAAAAGCTTACATCCCAAACCACACCTTAGTATATAAAGCGCTTGCTTATTCGGTGTGATACCTCAGTTCAAATATTACCGGTCACATGATGCAATTTTATCTTCTCTTATACCCAACAAAAAAAAAATAAAAATAAAAATAAAAATAAAAATAAAAATAAATAACCTTATCCGTTACTTTCAAAACACACACTGGTGCTGTTTGGTATAACTGTTAAAACAGATTATAGATTATAACTTAACAGATTATAGATTATGACTTTAATCAGAAGCTGTTAATCTGTTTGGTATACCTGTTAGATTATAGATTTAAGTTGCTGAGTAGTGAATAGGCAAGACTCAAAATGGCGAACAGAGGAAGAGACGGTGGCTGGATTCCGGTAGTGAGGCAATGGAAAGGAGGTGGAGCACAAAATCAGGAAGCACAACATGGTCTTATCACGGTCTTTGTGGACAACATCCCGTCAACTATGGACGCCAAAGCTCTGTACAAACTCTTCACCAAATTCGGGATTGTGAAGGATACTTACATTCCTTTCAAAAGAAGGAAAGTGACCAATTCAAGATTCGGGTTTGTGCGGTATAACTGTAGCATAGCAGCATCTGTCGCAATCCAAAAAGGAAATGGGCTCTTGGTGGATGACTCTATGCTAGAGGTCAAACTGGCTGCTTATGACAGAAATAGCAGAAGTGAACAGAGTAAGAAAAAGCCTCAGCCTCCCAGAAGATTCTCGGATACGATCAATTTCAAGGGTAAAGATGCACTTGTAGGGCACAGATCTTTTGCTGAAGTCCTAAAGGGTGTCTTAACACCTACCACGCTAACCCTTGTGAGTTTGTCCATTTTTTCAGATTTGAACTAGCATAAAACAAATTACGCCTATGCAAGTCAAGCCGCGCTTCGGTATCGACATCGAGATTGGGTCGAACTGCTTGACGTTCAGCCGACCTACCGATATAGTGGTAGGAAAAAGACCAAAGTAACCGACTTTCTTTTGGAGTCCTCTGTAGAGACAAACCCTAGCCTTTTCCAAGTTAACCTAGTCCCACCAACCAAAGAACAAGAGATGGCCAAGATGAGAGCAGTTCGAGCTCTGATCATTGAGTAGGTATCCTCTTCAAATGTTGAGGTCCAGATTAAGTAATCTCCCACCGGCCAGACTGTAGAGACCGTTGTTGCCTTGCCTGCTACCCGGGCTACCTCATTCCAGCCTAGCAAGAGGCCACGCACCTTGGCATCTCCACCACAATGGCTGGTAGATGAGGAAGAGGTCGAGCTGCCAATGACCCAGTCTTTTCAAGGGGGGTCGTCACTCGGGCTGTGCTAGTTCCTCTTCGCCTCCGGTGTGGGCTTCAACCATGACATACAAAGGCTGCATTGTGATCACAACCGACTCGGTTGCCGCCGAAAAAGACCACTTGCTAGCCTTTGGTCTATCCAAAAGCTTGTGCCTTCCAGCCGATATGGAAAAGCACGATCACTTGACCGAGCTGAAGGCAATTCGGTCCGCCACTAAGTCGATGGTCTTGGTAAAGTCTGAAATTTCAATATAACTGTTACTCTTACAATCTCTTGGTGTGGTTTTAACTTACCACTTCATATGCTGTGCAGGCTATTTAGAAAAATCACATTACCTACTAACGTGTTATTGAATTACAAAAAACGGCTAAGGCAGCCATTGCCTGGTGAAAGTGAAAGATGCCGAGATAGAGGCCCTGAAGGCATCTCTGACCGAGCTGAGTGCCGAGAAGGAAAAGCTAACCGAGCAGGTCAGTGCGGCTAAGTCAGAGAAACAAAAAGTGCTGGCCAAGAAAAAGAACCAGTATTTGCGCGAACTTGCTAAACTAGAGAAAAAAAAGAATGCCGAGATCGAGGAACTGTAGAAGAAGATGAAAGACGTGGAGGACCGGGGTTTTAAGGAGGGTGAAGAAACCCACGTCCATCAATGTGAAGCGGCCAAAGACATCTTCTTTAAGTGCGGTGTCAAATGCTCAGATTAAATGGTAGCCCTTGCCTCACTCTATCTTTTACTGAAGGATCTAGGGTAGAAACACACCCTAAGTGGATCAAATCTAAGAAAGAAGGTGAGTAGGGAGAGAGAGAAGTCGGACCTAGGGTTTGGAATCAAAAGAAAATGAAAAAGACTGATCAAATCCCGCTGCTGTGTATATAAACTGGACAGGCTCGCTCGAGCGAAGACTTGGTCGCTCGAGCGACCAGACACAGAGAAACTACGCTCGAGCCAAGGAAGCCTTGCTCGAGCCAACAACTCAAAATCTCGCTCGAGCGAAAGAAAGCTCGGTCGAGCGAAGAACTCATACCCTCAGGTCTGAACCCAGACACACGCTCGAGCGAAGGAACTATAGCTCGAGCGAAGGATGAACTAACTCGCTCGAGCGAAGAAAAGCTCGCTCGAGCCAAGAATGCACAGCTACAGGTCCAAATCAAACACTACCTCTCGCTCGAGCGAACAACTCCTCGCTCGAGCGAAGAACCAAAAACCTGGACAGCAACACTTGGTTTCTAAACCCAACCAACCTGAACAAACCTGCCTAACACATCTTATAATTCCAAAAGAGAAAAATAAGGAACAACAACAACAACCATTATACAATGACAGAATCTACGGAACCTAAGTCCGGATACAATAATCAAATGGGAAAAGACCGGGGTCGCTATACGTCGCACGCCACTGCTAGCGCCACCACCGCTGCCGCCGCATCCTCACAGGTTCTCTCTCACTCTCGGTCTGTCTGTCTCTCTCTCTGTTTCTCGCTCTCTCCCTCTCTAGCCTTTTAATTATTTGAGATTGCTTTTTCAATAACATTAATCTGAAGGGCATATTTTGATTCTGAATCTTGCTCACACCATGATTCCACATCAAATTGATCATCTTGTAACTCAACCTTTTGTTCCAATGGAGTTCTTAGCTCTACATTATGATGGATAGGTGAAGATACAGTGTCTTCTGTAATCTCAATAGCATTAATCTTCTGGGCAGATTTTGACTCTGAATCTTGGTCATGTTGATCTGAAGACAATGGGACTGTAGTAGCATCAGCAATATGCATTTTTAGCTCTGCATTATGATGGGTAGGTGAAGATACAGTATCTTCTGCAATCTCAATAGCATTAATCTTCTGGGCAGATTTTGACTCTGAATCTTGGTCATGTTGATCTGAAGACAATGGGACTGTGGTAGCATCAACAATATGCATTTTTAGCTCTGCATTATGATGGGTAGGTGAAGATACAGTATCTTCTGCAATCTCAATAGCATTAATCTTCTGGGCAGATTTTGACTCTGAATCTTGGTCATGTTGATCTGAAGACAATGGGACTGTGGTAGCATCAGCAATATGCAGACTGTTTCTGGATGTTGCAACCGTAGAAGAGTCAATAACACTGTTGAGGAATTCTGAATTAGAATCATCACAAGAAACTGTATTGCACAAAACAGAGTCCAAATTTGATGAAGCAACTACCTGTTGATCCACCTCATTTTCTGTGCAAGATTCTTGAAGATGCTCTGGGGAACATGCCTCGTTGATTTCCCTACCATTTTGATGTAAATCCTCAAGAATAGCAGTAGATTCTTCTTGCAATTTTGTGGGACTGGTAGAAAAAGATTTGCTGTCGCCTTCATTATCATCACAATACGAGCCAACAACAGCAGTAGCCACAATCACAACTTCCGAATGAATAGTTTCAGTTACTACATCATCTAAATGCACATCGGGAACTGGTGGAGGATTTGGAGAGCTTTGAAAATCAGGTGAAAATTTAAGGCTGCTATCATCCTTTCCAATGATATCCATGTCAGTGGAGAATCCACCCGATTCTTCACAATTTGCTGCATTGGAAGCCACATCAACATTTTTCTCTCTAGAGTATGAAAAACCCACTTCTGCTGAATCAAGTTCATGCGGGGAAATATTTTCTGATATTCCTGAGAACTGATGCTTTGTAAATCTAGTAGCCTCTAGATTATCCACTGTCAGAGTTGAGCTAATTGCTCTCTCCTCGGGCATTGGAGGAGCATCATCTACTTTAGAAACTATGCCATCAGGCTTCATATCAGGATGACAAGTTTCCAGTTCTGGGAAGGCTAAATCAAGATGCTGCTCTTCTGCATGTGAAGCAACTGAATGTGGTGAGACAATCTGAATGTCAACCGAAATTTTGGGACATTCATCTTCTGCGTATTCTGCTTGAAGTGAATCATCTAACAAACTTACATTACTATTCTTTCCATGAGCAGCAGGCTCCAAGTGAATCATCCACATGATGGTTTTCAGAAGACAGCTCAGGGGGGAAATCATCTCGCATTTGGGAAGGACTATCAGAGAGATTAGATGTGCAGGGTAAATTTTCTCCCAGATATGCTGTATTCTCTTCCAGATTACTCCATTTTGCATTAAGTTCATTATCGGAAGATATTTCATCCAATTCCGGTTCCACTGATGAACATTCCATCAAAATTTTTACTGGATCTACAGGTACAAGCATAGGAGTTGAATCAGCATGACAGGAAATAGAGGATGGTTCTGCAAATTCAGGCCTGTAACTTGGGATATTAGCTTCCTCATTGCAAACACCATCACAGACCATGTGTTTTGGAGCTTGGGTCAATGGACTCTCTTCATTGACAGTATGCCTGTCAGATGTCATGTTAACAATCTCAAATTCACAAATGTGGTCTTATAAGTACTACAGGTTCAAGTAATTTTAATTATTATGGTGTGTTCCCGTTGAGAGGTAAATTGCTTAATGTAAGGGAAGCAAGCCATAAACAGATCATGGAGAACGCTGAAATTCAGAGCATCAAGCAGATTCTTGGACTTCAGCATGGAAAACAGTATGACAGTGTGAAGACTTTGAGATATGGTCATTTGATGATCATGACTGATCAGGTTTAAAACATTTAACTTCTTGTTTTGTTTTTTCTTTTGGTTTTATCTATATGTTGATTCATTACTGAGTGTGGATACATTTTAGTTTGTTTGCTGATGACTTGGTTAAAAGTTTCAATTTTTATGCATTCACAGGACCATGATGGATCACATATTAAAGGGTTATTGATTAATTTTATTCATTCATTTTGGCCATCGTTGCTAAAAATTCCTTCTTTCTTAGTTGAGTTCATTACACCTATTGTGAAGGTATGTACTCCATATCCAATCTTACTTCCATTACTGTCTAGTGGAACTGAAAGTGCAGTTTATAATAACTGGTATTTATTGTTGCACAGGCTACTCACAGAAATGGGAAAGTTCTAGCGTTTTATTCCATGCCGGAGTATGAATCTTGGAAGGAGAGTTTGGGAGGCAATGCCAGCGGTTGGTCCATTAAGTACTATAAGGTTTGTATGTTCAAGATCACAGGAGGGATAAATCTAGGGTACTCGGTGTTTTTGTATGTGTTGTCAGTTTGTATGTGTTTTTGTATGTTCAAGTCTCAGGAGGGATAAATCTAGGCAATGCCAGTGTTTTTGTATGTGTTGTTAGGAGGGAAAGTTCTAGCGTTTTATTAATTTCTTTGGGGAAACTTCCTGCGGGGTCATCTTGAATGACTTAGTTGAACCGATTGGAATCTCAATGTTAGTTTTGTTCCTAGTGGAGTTGCATTTGTATTTGACTTACCGTGAAAAGAAGTTGCATGTGTTTTTTGCATGGTTATCTAGTTTGGATCACCTAGTTTGTAAAGTAAATATTTTTTCATATTGCAGTAGGTGATCTATTCTTTCATATTAACTTAGCTGTGCTATTGTCAATGCTTAGTACCATCCTTTTTTGAGGTTGGAGGAGAGAATGTTGCCTTTAGTAAATTTCCACATTTGAGGGTATTAAACAATGTTGAAATTGGTGATAGAGCTATTGTTGCTAATTAATTTAGGATTTTTTTTATCATGGCTGCCAAATAGTAGTTCATTTTTTAGTTGGTTTGTGCACATGTAACTTTGTTGGTATGGGTGTATTAAAACAGACACTTGCATGAATATCTATAATGCATTCGTAAATTTTTTGTAGGTACTGTATGCGTTGGGGTCTGCTACCTCCTACAAAAAAATTACGGGAATGTGCTTAGAAAAAGCTTTACATCCAGGTATATTTAGGTTCGACTTACAGCTTTTTGGTAAGCATATCAAAATCCATATAAGACATTGATTTTTTATACCCAGACTCTTCTTCATTCTTTTTCTTCTAATTTATCAAGTGAGAGGAAGATTAGTTATTGACTTTAAAGAAACTTGTCTCTTTGAGCTTACTCAGAGGTCCTGTATTGCATCTCTTCTATGATATTCATTGGATGATTTTATCCTCTTGTAATTGACACATTAGATGCTTATTGATGAGGGGGAATTGCAAGAAAATGGTATCAACTCAAAATAATTGCAATGTCACAGAAGTACAAACAATTCATGCATTAGATTGTGCAACTAAATCTTGTGTTTCCACCTCTTTGCTATTATTTTGAGTTTATATCATTTTATTGCAGTTGCCTCTATTGATAAAGCTAGATTAAGTTTAAAATTTGGTTTAGAAGAATTACTTTCTGCTTGCAGCGTGATGAAGAGGACATGGCCGAATTTCTCAAGAATTGGGTGTTTTAACAAATTTTCGTTTCTCATTGACTGCTTCTCGATACTGTTACACTAGGACTGCTGCTTTTACGACTAGAGTGATTCTGCGATTTATACTATGAAATTGGAGGACACTTTTTTGGTCAAATACCTAGCATCAAAGTCAAATGTTTCTTTCTTATAGTACTTCTGAACAGACTCTTAAATTTGTTTTAAATTCAAACAAACATATTGGAAGTGGGAATTGATTTGAATTTAGTGTGTGTCTTGGTAGGCCTATTGGGTTATCATTTATCAAGAAATGAGTTCCTTAGCACTAGTGTCATAATCATCATTTTGGCTTTTGGGCTTTTCATTGCCTATTAACAATACAAAAATGATTATCCTCCTTATATTTGGATTGGCTAAGTGGCATGTTAAAGTACCTAAAGGTCTTGGATTTGGGAAATAATCAACTATCAGGTCCAATTCCTTCCGAGCTTGGGAGCTGGACAGGCCTTGTGAAAATGTAAATGGTGTTTGACATTTTGTTTCTTCAATTGAGTTTATGTGTTTGCTTCTGGTTTGAGATTTTTCTTTTCTTGTTTCAGGAACCTTCAATCCAATGGGTTGACTGGAAAGCTGCCTTCTGAACTTGGCAATTTTAAATACCTTGAGGAACTTCGGCTGGATAGGAATAAGCTTCAAAGAAACGTTCCTGCAACTAACAGTTCAGATTTTACATCCAGCATGCATGGGATGTAAGTAAAAGATTCATATATAATTACACTATAATTCCTCTAAATGTTGCAGTTATCTGTTTGGGGATTGATTTGATGCGCTTTCAATGAAAATAGTTGCTTGTAGCAAGAATGTGAATAATATTAATTTAATTTTTTGTGGTAAGTAAACATGTGAACTTGAATGAAGAAAATAAAAATGTATAACTATATACTTGCACTTCCTAGTTATTTGATGTATAATTTAATTTTTATGATGCCCATGTTTTGATTTGTTTTTTCACCTTTCATAGAATTTCATTGTATATACTATTAAAACATTAAATTATGCACCAGATTCTGGATGCCCATGTTTTTCAAATTCAAACATTGGACCTATTGAAATTATGCACTTTCAGAAAGAGAAAAACGAATACTAGTTGTCAGTTAACAATAGCCATCTAATATTACACATAGGCCCAAATTTTTTCTAGATTAAATATCAAAATGAAATCTTACTTGGCTTATGTTTTTGAAAAATTAATTAGAATGAGATATTATTTGACTATAATTTTGAAAATTAAGACATTCAGTAATAAGAATTTGTTACCATTATGTTTTGTTGATGGATCTTAGGAAAAAGATAAATTGGCCAAACAGTTGAGCCATCTCTGTCACATAGTCTAAGACAAAATTTGCATAGAAAGCAAGTTATGATTGAACAGAAACATAAGCAATGAAATTCTATGAAAGGTGAAAAAACAAATCAATACACACTACAATTATGAATTTCTGTCTGATGCTTGAGGGACTACAACAAAACAAAATAGAAATTGGTTTGAATGAGAATTAAAGTGGGAATGCATTACAAGTTCATGATCTAATCTTCAACATAGAGTAACCAAGTTACAAACATCAGATAATCACAGAGGCAAGTTTTGCAAGAATGGAGGTAACTAAACTACCACTTGTGTTCCGGGACATACAAAAAAGAACAGAGAGATTTGATAAAGAATATGCATATAGTACACGACATAACTACGAAAAGAAGGGAAGAGAACGGTAAGGAAATACTTTGGATTAGTGGCAAATTACATTAATGTTAAGTTGGTCCCAGAATCTCAACTAAATATATATATGAACATCATATAAAAATGTATAATTTAATTTCCCCCCCCCTGTAGTTATTTGATGCAAGTTGCCTCTCTCTCTCTCATGCATACGGACATGCAAATGCATACATGCATGAATTGTTGCCTTTTAGTTATTGTGGCATGGTTCTGGTCCCCTTGATGCTTGCTTACCATTTTAGATTAAGCATGACCTTGCTGATGCTGACTACAAAAGATAGTTTCTAAACTTTTACATCTATGATGATTTTCAAAGAATCCTGTTTTAGTTCTTGAGCATTTTGTTGTCACTTCTTGTCAGATTGAACTTTATTTTTTCTAAGACAATTTTTCACTTTGTGTGCATGTGCAGTGTGGATGGTGGAAGACCAAGTAGTGCAAGTATCTTTGTTGGTGGCTTTGTCTTGGGTGGAATTGTTGTTGGAGCACTAGGTTGTATATATGCACCCCAGGTATGTGTGTATTCCTGAACTGTTGTCTATCCATTAGAATTGGATTTATTTGGTCAAATCTCTGGATTGTTTGATATGCGTTACTTCAAATTTGATTGGATAATATAGTTGCTGTGAGGTTCATTTGCCTTACAGATCAGCAAGGCACTGGCAAGAGCAGACAGGAAAGATTTGATGAGAAAGCTGCCAAAATTCATATATGATGAAGAGAAAGCCTTGGAGGTGAGATCTTTCTCTTGCATTTTGGCAACTGCAACTGCCAAAAGATTTGGTGTATTTGTTAATTTTTTCTAGGGATCTTGTCATTGATTCATGTTGACAATATAAACTCTCATCCACTTTATATGATTTGATGAGAACAGAGAACACGCAAAATCCTGACTGAGAAGATCGCGCAGCTAAACTCTGCCATAGATGATGTCTCTTTGCAGCTCCGTGCTGACGATACCCCAAATGGAATTGCTGTAAGCCCGGATGAACTTCAGGCTTCCATATGACAAACTGTTCAAAAGATATCCTGAAGTTGTTTATAGATGAGAAATGTTTGAAACAAATCCTTTAAATTTTCACTAGTAAACTAAGGGCTCAAGGTGGGGCCCTTATGTATTGTGTCGAATGTTAATGATTTAGTTAATTTGAATGATGCTTTAAAATTATAGGTTTATTATGGATTGAATGAATTATTAGGAATTACAGGTGCATTGTTTTCCTGCTTTGGTGACTAATTTATTAGTTGCAACATCCAAAATAATTTTTTTCCGCAAAAAATGACAATTGCCGACCAAGAGTTTTGGTCGCAAAAAATACATGTATTGCCGACCAAAACAACTTTTGGTCGTAGAATCTCACTTTTACCGACCAAAAGTTTTGGTCGCGAAAAGACACAAATGGCGACCAATTTTTTTGGTCGCGAAATGTGATAATTGGCGACCAAAAAATTTGGTCGCGAAGTGTAATAATTGGCGACCAAAATTTTTGGTCGCGAAATGTGACAATTGGCGACTAAGAAATTTGGTCGGGAAAATATCACTTTTCGCAACCAAAGTGTTTTGGTGACAAAATAAATTAGTCGCGGTAATTAAATATTTAGCGACCAAAAATTTAGTCGGCAAAATCCAACTTTTGCCGACCAACCACAATTTTGGTCGCGAATAACTTTTGCCGACCCTCAATTGGCGACCAAAGTAGCGACCAAAAAAATTAGCCGCGAATAACTTTTGCCGACCAAAAATACACTTTTAGCGACCAATTTTTTTATTGCCAAAAGTGTTAATTCTTGTAGTGTCAGTTCAAATATTACCGGCCACATGATGCAATTTTATCTTCTCTTATACCCAACAAAAAAAAAAGATAAAAAATAAATAAATATAAATAAATAACCTTATCCGTTACTTTCAAAACACACACTAGCTCATACACTTCACAATAACACATCATAATAAGCTACCTTCCATACTTGCATCCCTTTATATCTATCTATATTTTTCTTGTGGGCTCAAATTTGAATTCACATAAATAATCTGAACTGTTTAATTTGTAGGTCCTGTAATAAAGGTCATTCATGTAAAAAATTAATTTTATTAGATATCTATAAATACAAGAACAAATCACATTTTATTTTATAAAATAAATAGCAAATAGAATTGCAAACTTAAATAATTCATTTTGTAAAACAAAATGTGATTTATTTTTGTATTTATAATTGTTTGATAAATATAATTTTTTTGTATGGATAACTTTTATTGTGAAGCTTGCAAAATAAAAATTTTGGATCATCAAAGTGAGTCCCAATTGAGACCCACAAGGAGAGTATGGAGAGATGCAGTATGGAGGGACACTTATCCGTTTCATTATTTTTCATTTTCTTGTTTTCCAAAAAAAAAAAAAAGATAAAATTTCTAATACTTGTGTGCAGTTGATTGCAACTGCTCTACATGCAATATTTTTTTATTATTTTTTAAAATTTATTATTATTATTATTATTATTATTATTATTTGTTTAAGCCTAGACCAGGACAGGATCACTTACTAATGCACATGCATTAGAATGCTTATGCCCCCAAGGTCCAAGGAATCCAAGAGATGTGGGAAATTTTAAAATTTGTATTGGCAAAACCAATCAATATAAACTGCTTGAAATTGACAGGAGACTCATTTCTCTCCCATGCTTATCGTTCATGCCTCAATTGTCTGACTCTAATGTTATCCCTAGTTGGGAAATAAGTCTTCAATAATACAAAGGACGGCGCACTTTTCCGAGAAAAATTGATCACCATTTGCCAAAATTAAAGGAAAAGTTACATTGCAAAAAGGTTCACTTTAGTGATTATCTTAATCACGTCTTATGACTGCTCTATAGTGATTATCTTAATCACGTCTTATGACTGCTCTTTTGTTTGTTACTTGGACGTCTAAACTACCTTATGACTGCTCTTTTGTTTTGTTACTTGGACGTCTAAACTACAAATCTTTGATCTTCACCTAATTACAACTATTAGCTAATTGATCATGAATGCCATTATAGAAAGTGAGTGTACTATTTGCAAAAAAATATGATTCGGTTCAAATGGAAACTAAATTAACATTTTGCAATGATTCTAATGGTCTGCTGAATACAATTACAGCTGTTTTCAAGACAAAAGAAAGCACACTAATGATTATTTAAGAAGAGACTAATAGCCAATTGATCTAGATTGGAGAAATAGACCACTGCAAAGGGAGGAGAAAAAAAAAAAAAAAAAATTTCCAAAAACAGTGCAGTTTTGAACTTTAAATTTGATTGTTAGGTTTTTGTTACTAGCAATTCTGTTGGACAAAACTCATTTTAGTTGTATTTTTACTCGCTCTATTGTATCTGTAAGTTATAACAGTTTAGATGCAAATTCAATTCGAGTTGTGCCTGAGTAGAAGAGTTTATACTGATATTCCATATCTTGTTTTGAGGATTCCTTATTTTCCACTTCACTGACTAAATAAGAGGTCAAAGTTGATTAACCGCTCAAATGGTGAAGTGGTTCATCTAATATCTCTGCCTGCATTTTGAATTTCTGGGAAATATGTTTTACTGCTCAAGCAGTAGATGTTACGCTCGAACAGTTGGCCTATATGTGAGCATCGCCTTTACTCACATCGCTCAAGTGGTATAGTGAGAGCTAGAGCAGTCTTCGCAGCTTTATTTAGTATAAAGTGCGCCATTTGTTCGATTTAAGGTTCAACTCGTCCAGATTTTTAAAGAGGAAAAAAAATAAATTATTTTATATTGAAGGGTGTTTATTTATTATTTTCCTTCATGATTTAAGAATGATCGATTGATCAACGAGCTTCATATTGACTATCATCAATGGTTGTTTTGTTCTTTCATTCACAAAAAAGAGAGAGGTGTTCATTGTCGTGAATTCAACATTGGACAAAGCAATTCCGAGGTGAAGACGGTGGTGTGGAAGAGGCACATTAGGTTTGGTTCAATTCGAGTGTGGATTTGCTAAGTAATTGAGGGTTCTCGTGTGTAATTCCTTTTTGTCTTTTTAGTAGATTGTTTTATGGCTTTGGTCTGAGATTTTTTTTATCACAATTAGAGGTGAATTGTAATTTTTTTTCTCTTAAATCGTTGTGCCGATTTACTATTATTTGTTTGTTTGATTAGGATTACTATTCATTGTTTAAAATTAAATAATAATCACAAATTAATATCTTTGAAATTTTTAAAATTTTCAAAGTAAAACCCCCAAAAAATAAATATTTTACTCAAAAAATAAAGTGAAATTATTAATATGAACATGGTAGATGGTTTGTTGGCTGATTTACTTTAGAAGAAACTAAAATAAGTTGTAAAGATAGCTTAGTGTGACATGATTGGACTTAAAGAAAACCCATATTGTGGGAAATAAATGACAAATGAATCTTTGACTGAAAAGAAAGCTGAATCTTCGTTTTGTTGTTGATTAAAATGACATCACAAATTTCAATCATAGAAACTTTGAAAGGTGAAGACAATAGGGTAATGGTGAGAGATATAACAAGTTTCTGTCCTCTTTAAGTTGAGAGTCTACAATGCAGTTGTGACTGGGCAAGGGTGGCTATGATCCTCGGAGACGATGTGATATGCCCCTATAATGCAAGTCTACAAATCAAGCAATACTGCGCAAGTAGTAATAATCAAAATACTTACTATTATCTTTATAATTTTAGAGTTGTCTTGTAAATCATAATGCATTATAAATTAACGTAGTGGATAAAAATAATTCGGATCATACCTTAATGTAGACACCCCATTTTTGACCGAGCTTGAGACTCAGACGTCACCAGTTGAGTGCTTGGTGATATTGTATAATGTGCTCGTTCAGAAGTTTCAGAGTCTTGGCCGTGAGCCCTGCCTCCGAATTTTCGAACCCTCTTCTGTGCCTTGCCTCGGTTTGCGAACCAGGCTCGGTTTCCTCTGTTTCTTTTCCTGAGGGGAGGGAGAGGTCCCGTAGACCATCTCTCAGTGGCCGTGGGCTACATTTTGTGGCTGTAGGCCATTTTTCCCATTTCGGAGCCCGGTTCCCGGTTTTCGGAGCTGTCAGGCCGTGTGCCTCGGTTCGGGACCGCTTAACCATCTCCTATTGCTCCAGTTTTTGGTGTACTTCTTATTTGCTCCCTTTTGAGGGACACTGAGGTCTGAGAGACCCACTTCGTGGCCGAATGCCACTTTCGGTGCTTAACAGGCAGTTTTCGGGGCCTCGAACTACGCGTTTTGGCCCCCGAACATTCGCTTTGCATCGGTTTTCGTTCATTTTTGGCAGGTACCTCTGTTTCATCACCAGGAAGGCCGTAGAAGGGTGGGAGGCCAGTAATTGTTTCAGCAACCAGTTATATATCCTTCGGCGCCCTCCGACACCCGTTTTTCTCACTTCCGAGCCAATGTTGAACACCCTTGGGCCATCTTCTTGAACTTTTAACCACATATTTGTGTTGTACACACATGGGAGGACCCTAAAAGTTGGTGGCCGGCCAGTAATTCCACCTGACCCTTTTGAACCCTTCCTAAAATTGGCCTATTCTCTCTCCTGTTTTACAGTTGACAATTTTGAACCACAGGGTTATGTTGAGGGCACCTGGGAGGACACCAATCTGTGGTGGCCGGCCATTAATCTCACCTGACCTTTTTGACCCTTGGCCGGCCGGCCATGGGAGGTGGCCGGCCGGCCACCTGCAGCTCCAAAAAGTGGCCGGCCATGATCCTTGCAATATGTACATTACAGCTATACACTTTTTTTCCTCCAAAAATCTTTATCCGGGGGGACAACTTTTGGGGGGAAACTTGGCTTGTTTTCCCCCCATTTCTTTCCCTCATTTTCCCCCCTCTTTGGTCCATATACTTGGTTGGCCAGGTCTGTCATAAGGGTTACAAAAAATTCCCCTAAGAGCTCTTGCATCATAGCTCCCTCTATCTCTCTCATTTCCTTAAAAATTCCTAAGTCCTACACCTCATTTCTTCATCACCACCAAGCACCACCACCACTACTCCATTTCCAGCAGCTTGGAGAGCTTTCCAGCAGCTAGGAGACATCACTTCTCAAGCCAAGAAGCATCCAAAGACTTGTCTTCAAGGGTAAGCATCATTTCCCCTCACTACTAGAAAAAACAC